AAGTGGGGTCTCCGGAGTTTCTCCCGCGCGTTTCCCAAGGAAGGGTAGGGAAATCACCCCATGGTCCCACCGGCCTGCAGATCGGGCAGCCCGTCTGCTGAGGATCGGTGTGGGTCTTGGGCTACCCCGAGCTAGGCAGGCCCCTGGCATCTGAAACGGCGGCGGGCACGCGGCAGCGAGAGCAGGACAGGAATGAAGGGGTCTCAGGGATACCGTTGACAAGATCAGAGGGAGAGGTGGGGCCCAGAGCGGCTGGCGCCCCGCAAGGAGATCGGCGAGGATCCTAACCCGAATGTCCTCTGTGCCGGGCCACTGTGCGACATGCTGGACAAAGGCGCTACTGAGTTCACCCTGTACCTGATGTACGCCCAGTCCAAGAAGGCGTTCAGCTGCACGCACGCAGTCTTCCATGCCAGCGACTGGGCTCACGAGCCCGCGGTGTCCATGTGGCGCGGTCTCGAGTCCAACGTCGAGGAGGCCAAAAACGTGGCCACTGGGCAGCGGGTCCCGCTGATGTTCGGTGCCCAGCACGGCGCGCTGGACAGCATCGGAGACGATCAGCGAGCCGAGGTGGCTGGCTACCTGGAGAAGATATATGCGGACGCAGGCTTGGATGGTACCACCAAGGAGGGTGAGGAGGACATCCTCAGTTGCGTCGTGGGGAGCGACTGACTCGACGTTGGCCTCGCACATTATGGTGCGCATCGCAACACAAGAGATCGGGACAAGGTGGTCGAGAAATGTTGAGAGCGTGTGCAATATTGCGAGCTTGCGTAGGAACTGCCAGGCCTAATTGTCATTGTCAGCACGCTGGGTAGCGGTGTGGACTCCTCGCTCGAGTTGCACGATCGGCATAATTTGGCGCGTTCCAGAAGGGGCTTCGCCTTCGAGGGATCGAGGAGGTCACGTGTCTTCTCTGGCGGAAGCCAGCGGAAGGCCGGCGGAAGCCGGAGAAAGCAAAACGAAAAAGACGTCAGTTGTTTTCTGATGCAGGGTTCCCGGAGCGTGCCATACGGCTGAAGTGATCGCGGAGCGCAACGTTTTCTGATGCTCTGCCCCCTCCTCCCACGGCGGTTCAGGAGGGAGGAGGGAGGATGAGGGAGGGAGGGAGGAGGGAGGGAGGAGGGACGGAAGGAGGAGGGAGGTTGGATTCCTGAGGGATGGCTCCCCTAAGGATGGGACATTCCCTGCTGTCCTGGGCTGAGCATCCGCTGTCCGAGGCCACTCCTCCTGAGGGCCCCCTCCCTCGGGGCGCCGTCTTGGAGCCGCCGGCCTTCGCATGCGCACTCCTCCCGACGCGGCTCCGAATCGGCACGTTTCACGACGTCTGTGATGGGCTTGTTTTCCACCACCACCACCATAAGTTGGAGGGGGAAGGGGGGTCCTCCTCCTCCTCCTCCTCCTCCTCCTCCTCCTCCTCCTCCCTCCTCTTCGTCCTCCCTCCTCCTCTCCTCCTCCTCCTCCTCCTCCTCCTCCTCCTTCCCCCATCCAACTTATGGTGGTGGTGGTGGTGGAAAACAGGCCCATCAGTCTGCGCCAGACGCCCCCGCCCCCCCTCTTCGGATGCAGCTCAGCATCGGCGCTGTTTCATCCGTGGCCGAAAGCCGACCTAATCGGACACGGTCCCGTTCATTTCCGCTCCATCCCGACTGATCCGGCCGCTGATCCAGATTAATGGTCCTTATGTCGGCTTCAGTAGAGTAGCCCTTGCCCTTGATCGTTCGTGCGAAGACTTCCCAGGAGTTGCCTCCGAACCTTCTCTCCCTAGTGTAGCCCCATAAACGGGCCCAGGTCCTGCTGCATTAATGACAGGAGCTTTGTCAGACCGATCAGTTGCGACTCTAGGACTGGAGGAAAAATAGACAGACGGGGCGGGCAGCACGACCTCCACAGGACGGCCTGTGTGGAGCTGCTTTCCTCGTCCTGCTCTCCTCGGTGCTCCTCGCCAGTGCTGGCTCCCTTTCCCTGTCGTCCTTCTCGGTTCCTCCCTTTCTTCCCCTCTCCGTCTCTTGTCTCCGAGCTCCGAGTTCTTCCATTCTATCTCAGATATGTTCTGCCCCTCTCTCTCTCTTTCTATATGTCTGCCCGTCCGTTGAACGTTAAAACAAGTGGCACATGCATGTCCAGGATCATACAAGCACATGTGCTGGATGTGTGTGAACGGCGCTCTCTTTTGAAGATACGGTGTTCCTCTGGCGCGCGTCGGTGTGTGTGGTGTCGAGGTGTGTGCTATGTGTGTTGTGTGGTTTGTGCGTGTTCTGTGCGTTGTGCGTGTTTTGCGTATTATGTGTTCGGTGTATTGTGTGTGCATGGTGTGTGTTGCTTGTGCTGGGTGTTTTTGTTGTGTCAGGTGTGTGTGTGTGTGTGCGCGCGTGCCGTTTGTATGTGCGTGCGTGTGTGTGTGTGTGTGTGTGTGTGTGTGTGTGTGTGTGTGTGTTTGTGTGTGTGTGTGTCTGTATGTATTTGTGTGTATGTGTGTATGTGTGAATGCGTGTGTGTGTGGGTGTGGGTGTGTGCGTGTGTGCTTGTATGTGTGTATGGTGTTGTGTGTGTTGTGTGTGTTGTGTGTTGCGTGTATGTGTGGGTGTGTGGTTGTGTGTGCGTGTGTTTGTGAATGTGTGTTTATGTGTGTATGTGTGTGTTGGGGGGAGTGTGTATGAGTGTTGTGTGCTGTGTGGTGTGTTTTGTGTGCTACGTGTGTGTCTTCTGAGTGCGTTCTGTGTGTGCTGCTTCCAACATTTTGACAGACAACCATCAATAACACAATGGATTACACATTCTTGAATCCGATGATTCGAAAGTTGCAGTTTCGCCTAAGCCATCCTCCTCCAAACTCGAGCCCCTTCTCAACACGATTCTTAGAACAAACATCCGTTTCGCCTGAGACATCCTCCCAAAATCGAGCCCAGGGAAGAAAGTTCACTGTGTTTTTAGACGGGGACGTCGCGATCTGCGTGAGGAGCGCGTCCGGTTTAGATAATGGTGAGGATGTCCCGAGCGATACGGCCAGAAGCAAAATACGGCGTCAATCAATCGCCTCAGAGCTCTATTCTCTCGGAGATGTGCGCATTAGAATATGCCATAGATCCTCTCTCTCTGCCTAGATTTACCCTTCCCCTCTCTGCGTCAGCCTCCTCGGCAGAGAGACGGGGTCTGGAGGGATGGGGCCCTGAGGACAGGAAAGGGCTCCCAGGTTAAACTTGCATTGTTCAGGACCTCGCTCCAGGATAGAAAAGGGCTTCCAGACTGAACCAACATTGTCCAGATGGAACTCGCATTGTTCAGGTCCAGGACAGGCAGGGGCTTCCAGGCTGAACTTGCATTGTCCAGGTGGAGTTTGCATAAGGCTTTCAGGTTGAACTGGCATTGTTCAGGCGGAATTTGCATTGTTCAGGTCCCGGATAGGCAAGGGCTTCCAGGCTGAACTTGCCCGATGGCCCCACATCTCAGGTGTCCATTCTTGAGGTGCCGACCTCGGCATCTTCCCCTATCCTTCGCAGTGGCGGTCCGCGCTCTTGTCGGACACCCGGCCACACCACGGGCCAATCGCCCGCAGGGGCTGGTGCGGCTGTCGCCGTCTCCCTGGGCAGCCCGTGCCCCTCCAGAAACAGTGTTCGTATTTAGGGGTTCCTGCTTCTCCTGGGCCTGTCTGTCGGTCTGGCGGTTATGTTGTCGCCGTTGCCACCCCGTCACCGCCTCGCTGCCGCCCGTAACCAGGCCTGTCTGCCGGTTTGGCAGCTATGTTGTCGCTGTCACCGCCCCGTCGCAATCGCCACAGCACGGAAATCGGATCGTCCACTTGCGGAGGGGGGGATGACATTTCTAGGGACACCCTTTGGCTATGCTGAAAACATTGATGCATTTGGGAGCAAGTTGTCATTGCGAGGGCGCAGCTCCTGAACACATTGCCTAAGCTCCATACTCTGCGAACGCTACCCCCGGCATCTGTCCAACCACTGGCAATGTATCACGACCGTCCTGTTCTGGCGGCCTTCATGCAGATTTGGAGGGGGTTAGTATGTGAGCGAATTGCGAGGAATTCTCAGGCGGGAGCCCCTCCCTGTGGGCCCGCACTTCATGTTCAGGCATAGCACTTGACCACTCCAAAGGGGCAAAGTGTGACGATGTCTCAAGCGGGGGCTCCGCCTGTGAGTGAGTTGCGAGGAAGTCTCAGGCAGGAGCCCCCTCCGTATGGGGCCCGCGCTTCATGTACGAATCCGAGCTGGCCATCGGCAAACTGCACCAGGCATAGAATTGATCATCCAAAGAGGGCAAATCGTGAGGATGTATGTCTCCAGCTGTGGCTTCGTCTGTGAGCGAATTGCGTGGAAGTCTCAGGCAGGAGCCCCCTTCGTATGGGGCCCGCGCTTCATGTTTGTAATCCGAGCTGGTCATCGGCAAACTGCACCAGGCATAGAAATTAACCATCCAAAGAGGGCAAATCGTGAGGATGTATGTCTCCTGCGGGGGCTTCGCCTGTGAGCGAATTGCGAGGAAGTCTCAGGTGGGAGCCCCCTCCCTCTGGGCCCGCACTTCATGTTCGAATCTGGGCTGGTCATCGGCAAATGGCAACAGGCATAGCACTTGAGCACCCCGAGGGGACAAGTCGTGAGGATGTCTCAAGCGGGGGCTCCGCCTGTGAGTGAATTGCGAGGAATTCTCTGGCGGGAGCCCCCTCCCTCTGGGGCCCGCGCTTCATTTTCGAATCCGAGCGGGTCATCGGCAAACTCTACCAGGCATAACACTTGAGTATCCCAAGTGTGCAAATCGTGGCGATGTCTGAAGCGGGGGGGGGAGTGAATTGCGAGGAAGTCTCAGGCGGGAGCCCCCTCCCCATGGGGCCCGCGCTTCATGTTTGTAATCCGAGCGGGTCATCGGCACACTGCACCAGGCATAGCACTTGAGCACCCCAACGGAGCAAATCGTGAGGATGTCTCCAGCGGGGGCCTCGTCTGCGAGCGAATTGCGAGGAATTCTCAGGCGGGAGCCTCCTCCCTATGGGGACCGCATTTCATGTTGGCCATTGGGCTCTTCCAGCGTGAATCTGCCCTCCCTACACGGTCTTCACCTCCATGTTGGAACCCAAGCAGGGTTATCCAAATCTTGCAGCGTCATTGCTTGGGCTGCCTAGGCTTGAATCTGGAGGAAGTCTCGAGCGGGAGCCTTGTGAGTGAATCGCGAGGAAGTCTCGAGCACTTGGAAAGCCTCCGAAGGTCACAGGAACTCCAGGAGGCTTCAGGAAGCCACGGGAAGCTTCAGGAGGCCCCAGGAAGCAGCAGGAGGCCTTAGAGGCCGCAGGAGGCCCCAGAGCCATCAGGAAGTTTTAAGAGGCCCTAGGAGTTCTCCAGGAGGCCCCGGGAGGTCCCAGGAGTACACCCAGGCCCCTGGAGGTCTTGGGAGGCACCAGAAGGCAGCAGGAGGCCCCAGGAGGCTCCAAGTGGCAGCAGGAGGCCACAGGAGGAGGCAGGAAGCCCAAGAGAAGGCCGGGGCAGCAGAAGAAGAGGTCCCAGGAGGCCCCAGGAGGAGGCAGGAGGCTCAAAGGGGATGCAGGAGGAGGCCAGAGGAAGACGCAGGACGAGGAGGAGGAGGAGGAGGCACGAGGAGGAGGAGGAGGAGGAGGAGGAGGAGGAGGAGAAGGAGGAGCAGGGAAAATAGGAGGAGGAGGAAAAGGAAAAAGCAGGACGAGGAGGAGGAGGAGCAGGAGGAGAAGGAATGAGGTGGTGGAGGAGGAGGCAGGAGGAGGAAAAGCAGTAAGAGATGGATGAGTAGCAAGAGGCCCCTGGGGGTCCAAGAAGGCTCCAGGACGCCCCAGGAAGCTCCAGGAGACCCCAGGAAGCCCAAGGAGGAGACAAGAGGCCCAAGGAGGAGGAAGAGGAGGCTGGAGGAGGCCGGAGGAGGAGGAGGAGGAGGCCGGAGGAGGAGGAGGAGGAGGAGGAGGAGGAGATAGGATGAGGAGGTGGAGGAGGAGGAGGCAGAAGTAGGAGGACGAGGCGGAGGAGGAGGAGGAGGAGGAGGAGGAGGAGGAGGAGGAGGAAGAGGAGGAGGAGCAGCAGCAGCAGCAGCAGCAGGCAGGAGGAGCCAGTAGGCAGGAGGCAGGAGGATGCATGGGTAGGAGGAGGAGGAGGAGGAGGAGAAGAAGGAGGAGGCAGAAAGAGGCGAAAGCAGGAGGATGAGGCAAGAGGAGAAGGAGGAGCAAGAGGATATCCTCAGGCAAGCCAAGCAGATTACCATTCGGGATCTTCCCGTTGGAGTAATGATGTTTTTCGTGTTCCGAGAATTTGCCCTCAGAATTGTTCGTGCCAGGTCGTGGTGCACCACTCCGAGAAAGTGGTGAGATTGTGTCTATTCTCTATTCGTCGTCGGCTGCTTTGTGGGAGTGGAAGATGTGTTTTATGGAGTATATGTGCCACGCTTCTGTCAGGGATCACGGAGCCCATGTCGGCAAATATTTGCCTCCAAGCGTTGACCACTTCTGTGTGCCAAGCAGCCCCCGCCCAGAGCAGTAACGAGTGTTTCTTTTCTCCTGCCCCACGCCCGCACGACACGGTGCGACGACAGTCCAGGCACGGAAACCGCCTGAGGCGAGTCGGCCGGTGGCAGGCTAACCAGGCTCAGAGGAGGAGGAGGAGGAGGAGGAGGAGGAGGAGGAGGAGGAGGAGGAGAGAGAGGAGGAGGAGGCGGAGGATCAGAGGACCTCCAAATCCAAGTCAGCCAGGCCAGGGAACGGCTCAAGGGAGGTCGTCGGTAGTAGGGCTCCAGGGTCGTGTACTACCATGCGGACCACTGGCCGTTGTAATGCAATTTCACATAAACCCCACCCACGGAGTAATAAGCCCAGTCCCACGTTTGACCCTTGCTGGAAGAAATTGGCACTTCTCTTTCGCAGGGGCGGGTCCGAT